CGGAACGGGAATCCACAAATCTAATACATCTTTATTATCTCTAACATCAGTATGTGATGTTAGATGATAAAGTTATTTAAACATTTAATATTAAAAATATAAATATTATATAAACTTGTGCCTTCAACAAAAAAACTAATACTAATATTTTCTTCGCTAGAAGAGTTTTCTTTATTCATGTAAGTGTCTTCGTTATCATTCATTTTTAGAGAAAAACATTTACAAGTAATATATCAAAAGAAAGAAAAAAATATGCACTACTCAGTGGAACCATTTATATTTTACAATACCTGATATTTTTGCAAAAAATAATTTATGACATGAAAAATTAACAAAAAAAAAACACAAAAAAAACATGTACATAATTATAAAAAATACATGCAATATATGTATTTTAAATTTTGAAGATCAGCTTTAAAAGCCACAATCGTGGCTCAACGGAACAGCCACAGTCAAAGGATTAAAAAGACACAATAGTCAAGAAAAAATATAAAGTAAAAGACTTTCGTAATTGTTTAAAATGAAAAAATAAGGAGGTTTTTCTAATAAGGGTAAGGCTTCAAAAGAAAAGAATCTCCTTATAGAATGAGTAAATCTGCTTTTAAATTCCTGCTAGATCGCATAAAACGTCGCACCCCTACTAAAATGAGAAACAGGTTGTTATCCCGAGAACCGTTGAATATTTTGAAACGTCAGTTGACACCCATTAAAATGAATTGAAGTATCTAACAACAGAGATAATTTTTGTAACAAAGTTGATTTGTTGCATAAAATTTGTATAAGATAAAAAACTGGCTGCGTCTGTAGTAATACAATTCAATCTATTGATGTTTGCGGACTGAATTAAACAAGAAAATGCTATTATGCAAAAACTTTTCTTGGTTTTTGATTAAATATATCATTAATTTTTTTTTTTTTTTTTTTCCATTTTATTTTACATTTGTTGGTCGTATTACAATTATATATTGCCAAAAAAATAATGATAATAATAATAAACTTTCACAAATATAAAACAAGGTATCTGAAAGAAGATCAAAGGATCTTGTCGTCAAAATCTTAAATGAGTTCAAACAAGCATTAACAAAGGTAACAACAGTATTAAATTTCTACAAATTTCCTAAGTAGATATTATATAATCAAAAGAGAGATCACGTGGATACGCGGATCTACTCGCCAATATTTTATATAAAAGTATAAGTACGAAAATATGATAATATGTTAAGTAAAGAATATAAAATCAACAAAATAAGTAAGAATAAACTTTTTACAAATGTAAATAAGAAAAGGCAAAGTTATTAATTCATATTATAAATAATAACATAATACGTTATCTAATGAAAATATTAGGGTTTTTAATTTACTTTTAAAAAAACGAAAAGTAATGGGTAGTTCGAAGTCAAAATTCGGTAAAACAATTTTATTCCAAACGTGTGGTGCCCGATAGGCAATACAAAATTGATTATAGTTCGTTTGACAAAAAGGTTCACTTAAAAAAATTAGTATTTCTCAAATTGTATTTGTTGATGGGTTTCGGAGTAAAAATATCTTTCCAAACAGATTGAGACAAGTCATTTTTCGACATGTATACAAAGCATAAAACATTATATATATTTAGCTCGTATATATTTAAAATTCTCATTTCAATAAAACAATGTTTTGCGTGAGAAAAGCGATTTGTAAAGCAGATTAAACGGATTGCATGTTTCTGACGGCGATAAAGACGTTGCAACTTACTTTTTTCTGTACTACCCCAGGCGATATTAGCATAATTTAAATAACTGTGTATAAATGAATAAAAAAGTTTGATTAAAATTTTCTTATTGAGGTAGATTCGTGCTTTATATAAAACTCCTATGTTTTTTGAAATTTAGTGCTTATGTAGTCGATAAAATGTAGTACATCGTCTCTAGCGTTTTCGCTTTTTTTGTTTTTGTTTTTTTTTCCACTATCATACCCCCTGAAAGAGGTTTAAATTGAAAATATACAAGTATAATGCAGAGTATTTTTATCATTAGCAATTAAAAAGTTTATTAAAAGCACATGTTTTTTTAATCAAGAAATTCCCCCGTTGAAAAGAAAAATTGAAAAAGTGTATATAAAAAAATATAAAAAATATTAAGTTATTTAATTAGGAACTATCAGCCTAATTCCGTTTAAAGATGTTAAAATTGGAAAAATCTTTAAGAAATATAAGTAAAATCCTATTTCCAATTAATTTTTTTTTTTTTTTTTTTAAACATGTTTATTTCACAACTACGAAGTATTTACAATTGACCAATCATCGATTGGCGAATAAAGATATACAAATATAAATATCGTAAACATAAAGTCCAAAATAAATAAGAGATAAATCTAAAATATTGTTACATTCAACTTTGAGACTTGATAAAAATAAATACAAAGTACACAATAGAATAACGTGAACGTAAAAATTATCCAAGAAATAAACCTTTTATATTCTTTCAATCAGAATAAAATATATATATATATATATATATATATATATATATATATATATATATATATATATATATATATATATATATATATATATATATATATATGTACATATATATAAAAGTATGATAAAAACAAGATTTGTATAAGAATTAAGAAAATAATTAATTGTTTGTAGTTATAGGAAGCTCGCAGAAGACTGGGATCAGTCTTGTCATCGAGTACCTTTTAGACGTGTAATACACATTAATACGCGTTACTAGTGCATCGTCTCCAGCGTTATTGCTTTTTTTGTTTAATTTTTTTTTTCCTCTATCATACTCTGAAAGAGGTTTAAATCTAGTTAGTTGCAAATTTAAATTACTTCGTTGATTTAGTTGTTTAGTTAACAGATTTAATTGGTTTTGAATAAGGATGATTGACACGTTTTTTCAAAAACAATTTTAAAGAAAGATTTTAGTTCTTGCTGTATTTTGATGTATTAAAGAGAAAATTTACAACTGGTCTTCCAAGAGCGTCCGTTTTTTTAAAGAAAGGTATTTATACATCAAATTTCAAAGCCTTATAATTTAGTAAAGCTAGATTTGAATAAATGAGCAAAACCAAGTATCCTACTTTTTAAGAGCTGTGAAGACAGTTTGAAACTGAATTGTTTGTTCGTTTAAGTTTGCTGTTTAGAGCGTTGCTATATTTTCTATTTGGTTTGATAACCTCATAGAAATTCAAGAAAATTCTTTTTTTTTTGAGATGTAGTGAAGTACCGTTAGTTTGAATGGTGGTAACAAAACTTTGATTGGAAATAACAAATTCGGTTTTTTCATTGTTTAAATTAGTTTTTAATTTAAGCACTGAAAAAATCATTGGTAAGGTTTTAAAATTGATAAACTTTAAAACATAAGCAGTTGTTAACAGAATCAAATAAAATCAACCTAGTTAACAGCTTTAATAAACTATAAATTTAAAACAAAAAACACATAGATTTACAGGTTAAAAAGTTTTGTAAGAGCATATAAGATTTTGAGATTTTTCAGGAATGACACCCATCAAGATTATACAAATGATTTTAATTATCAATTTTTTTCCTTTTTTTTTTAAATTTTTAAAACCCTATGGATATTTTAGGATTCCTGTAGGTCCAAACCTATGGGATATTTTTATATCCAGTATCTTATAGGATAGGATTCCTACAAGATTTTAGAACAGTGTTTTGTATAATTTCTAAATCAATAGGAATTCGTATAAAATGTATTCATTAGGATTATCCCTTTTAAAATTCTGTTACAATTTCATATAGAAATATCAATACAACTTTTATAGTATATTTTAAAGGACTCTATAAACGATATATAAACTTTAGCTGCGTTCTAATCATCTCTCTTTAAATGTTATCAAGTTAAATTTTGCTCGGTTCTGGCGTTAATCAACTTGTTTAAATGATGATTTCTGTATCCGTGTGTAATTAGGTATCAACTTTTTAAAATTTTAAAAAGGGAATGCTAGCATGCAGTGTTCTAATAATTCAGTATATTATACCATTTAGTTTTATATCAATTAACGAGCTCAACTTGGTAAATATCATAACATTTGAGCTTAAAGGTGACTTAGGTATTTGTGCTTAATTCCACTTATGTTAAGTTGTTTTTGTAAGATGTGTATTTATGGAAAGTTGTCTTTGTTAAGATGTGTATTTATAATTTGTGAAAAAAATTATTTCAGCTCATTTTTGACAACCGTTAAGCATAAGAACGAGTTAATAAAACTTTTAAATAGTTTTTTTAATTATTATTTAAATCCAATAGAACTTTGTGACCAGAATATTTTAAATTTAATTAACATAAGTAAAACTTTGCTTACTTTATTATGTTTGAGGATTAATAGAATAAAATAAAAAACAGAAAAATAAAAATACAGAAAGTGCTGGGGTTTTTAATAAGAAACTTAATCGAAACCACATCGAAAAAAAAAATTCAAGTGAATAAAAACAATTTTTAAAATAAATTATAACTCATCGTTTAATACTTTCAAATAAATATGCCAAAAAATAAATATATTTTAAATTAAATATGACATTCATTTCTAATATTAGACAAATATAGATAAATACATTAATACATATTTTTCATAATTTTTAAAAATTTTGCTTCTCCTTTTGAAGCTTAAGAAAATAACTTTTTATAAGTTTCTTTTAAATAAATTATATAGGTAAACATAATTCTTTTAAATAAATTATATAATAAAACATAATTCTTTTAAATAAATTACTTTTATATAACTTAATTACTATCAGAAGTCTTCAAGATCAATATTTTTGTCATAACGATATGGGATGTTGTGGCCTTTTTTCGCATTTTTATTGATCATCGAAGCCAAACCATTAAAAGCTCGTTCTAATTTATGTTAGAATTTATTGTTCTAATTTTGTTCTAAGCTCGTTCTAATCTTTCTAGTCATCTTTCTAATTTTGTTCTAAGCTCGTTCAAATTTCGAGATTAACTAATATCATAGGATCTAACTAAGATTTCTATGAAATATATAACTATCAATTATAAAAATAATCATTTAGCAAAACATTACAATATCAAACTTTCATCCTCTGACACAAGTCGTTGATGAAGAATCAGTTTTTCTGTTTGCTTTCTTTTCTTTTTTAACATAAAGGTATCATTTAAAATTTCCTCTTGTAAAAGGAGTAGCACTTCATTCATAATTAACTGCCATCTCTGCCCGCTGTTATCCGTTTTGCAAGGTTGAATATCCACATTTATCTCGTTTTGATATGATGTTGTTAGACAGTAATCTCTTTTTATGTTAGGTATCACATGACCTAGAGTACTGTCTGTTGTCCATATCTAAATTATACAACTAATTATTGTGAAATGATGAATTTAAAGTAAAAGCTACTGAAAACGAAATATTAATGCTACTGAAAACGAAATATTAACGCTACTGAAAACGAAATATTAAGGTGGTACTAAAGCATTAAAATCATAAAAAAAAACGATTTTGGGATTTTTATTTCAATATATGTAGAATTCAATGCTGGTTTCAAATATGTATAACTTTGATATGTTTTTTTAATAGAATTAGGAGATATAAGGTTTTTAAAAAACCAGGTATAATTTTAATCGCTTAGCAACGCCTTAGCAACGCCAAGCAAGATTTGGTTTTGCCCAAAAATTTAGTTATATATCCATGTTTTTAAACAGGGGGTCGCATTGAATCTTACAAATAAGTTTTTTTTTGATAAAATGTCTTAAATCCATTAGCTAAAATCACATTATTTTCATTAAATCATGACTGCAAGTTTCAAATTTTAAAGTGAAGTAGACACCTAACTACAAATACAATAATTGATTGTTTGGTGCTGTTCCTTATTTATTTATTTTATTTAGAATTATAAAAACATTTATTAAGTATATTAGTTGGTTTTTAAAAATGCCAAAGTCTTTAAAAGCAAAGAAAAAGATGAAGTTTAAAGGTAACAGATTCACAAAAAACAACAAGCTTGATGATAAAACCATGCAAATCGAAAAACCTTGTTCAAGTGAAAGAAAACTTAGAAAGAAAAAATGCAGTAGTTCATTTAGTAACAACGATGATTATAACATTTTAATAAACTTTTCAATTCTTCAGAATGAGCTTGTAAAATTTATTTTTTGTCCTAAATGTAAGAAAACAGTAACTTTATCAAACAATTTCAAAAAAAAAAGAAGGGATTTTCTTATCTTCTATGTTTGAATTGCACAAATTGTGACTGGAAATATGAATTTGAAAGCTCACAGAAAACAAATAAACTTACTTTAGGAAAAGCTGTAAGCTGCATTAATTATCAAATGGTTATAGCTTTTCGTGAGATTGGTCAAGGTTATCAGGGAATCCGTACATTTGCTAACATTATGAACATGCCAACACCATTATCATTTCCTGGATATCAATTAATAAATAATAAATTACATACTTTTTATAACGATGCAGCTTCAGAAAGCATGAGCAATGCAGCTTTAGAAACAAAGAGTTTACTTGCTACCAATACTTTTGATAACAATAGCATTACAAATTGCCAGGTCTCAGTTGATGGTACATGGCAAAAGCGTGGTTATTTGTCTATGAACGGTGTTGTAACTTTAATCTCAAGAGAAAATGGAAAGTGTTTAGACACAGCAGTTTTATCCAAATATTGTAAAGGATGTGCCATGTGGAAAGGAAAAAAAAACAAACCAGGGTACCTGAACTGGCAAACAAATCATATCTGCCAAGCAAATCACAAAAAATCTTCAGGTTCTATGGAGGCTGCAGGTGCTATTTTAATGTTTTCTCGATCAATAAAAAATTATGGTTTGCGTTACACTTCATATATTGGTGATGGTGACACATCATCTTTTAATGAAGTCAAGTCTTCTAAACCATATGGAGAAGAAATAACAATCGAAAAATTAGAATGTGTTGGCCAGGTTCAGAAGCAATTAGGTGCACGATGCCGCAGTTTGCTTCAAAGTATGAAGGGAAAAAAAACTAAGTGATGGAAAAAAATTGAATGGGGCAGGAAGATTGACAGATAAAGTTATAAATAAACTTCATAATTATTATGGAATGGCAATTAGGCAGAATAAACTATTATACCCAATGAAGAAATCTGTTTGGGCTGTGTTATTTTATAATAATAATATAAGTAATCCCATCGAACGCCATCAATTCTGCCCTCAATCTAAAAACAGTTGGTGCTTGTGGCAAACAGATAGATTTAGTGATCAAAACAAATACAAACCCACATTGAATATACCATTGTCAATCAAAGCTGTTCTTCTCCTAATTTTTCATGATCTTTCAAGTGATGAGTTACTTTCCAAATGTTTACACGGACAAACCCAAAACAACAATGAAGCTTTAAATTCTATAATATGGAAAAAATGCCCTAAAAATATTTTTGTTGGAAAAAAGGTTTTGGAGATTGGAGTTTCATCTGCAATACTACAGTTTAATGAAGGTGCTACTGGTATTTGCAAAGTTTTTGAACGTTAAAAAATTCCTGTCGGACAATTTATGAATAAAGGATTTATTAAAAAAAACAATGAACGAATCAGAAATATGAGGAGAAAATCATCAAAAAAAGGAATACAACAAAGAAAAATCCTTAAAAATATAAGAAAAGGTTACTCAGACATTAAAAATGAATCAGAAAAACTACCAGCTTATTCTATTGGTGGTTGGTAGTTGACTGTGAAAGTTTATTGGATTTTAAAACATGTTTTTTGCTATTTGAATATTTTCAATATACACGATTACGCAGAATTAAATATCTCAAGATCTAAAGCAGGCTTTCACAGGAAGACGTGCGATTTCATGTCTTTACATGACCACGCAAAAAAAAAATGTTTTAATGATTTGACCACGGCATGTCTTTAAAATTTAAAAACGCGCTACAAAAACTTATCTGAAAAAAATTTTTTAAAAAATAATAAATAATAATGAAAGAGAAAATAAAAAAAAAATACTTAGTTAAAGCAAAAACACACAAAAATAAATATATATATATAACGCAACTAAAACAAAACTCATCAAACTAAAATGCTTAGTCTATTTAATTTACGCATTTAAAAACCTTTTTAATCTTTGTTTCAACATTTTTATATATTTTTTATTTGTTTAATATGTTCAAAATTAAATATTTCTCATAAAAAATACATAGTTATATAAATAAAATAAAAAAACATTTTATAGATTTTTTAAATTAATTAGAAGTGTTTTTTTTTTTTTTAAATTCATTAAAAGCGTTTCGATAATAAAAAAGCATTTAAGATCAAACTTATTAAATTGTAACGGTTTTCTAAAACTTTTTTTTTAACAAAATTTTGTTTATCTTTTTAAATGCATTAACTTTAATCATTCTTATATTTAAATTCATTAAAGAGACTTTCGTAGTCGTAGAATGTCATCGTTTATATAAACAAAACAATTTTTTATTTTTTAATAAGATTTATTTTAGAAATGAACACTTAAACAATTTATATGTTTTAAATTAAAAAAATATACACAACTGCCATTTATATTTAAAAACCAAAACTTTTTTTCAGTAAATTGTTACTTTATTTAAAATCGTTTCGCTAATATAAAAACATTTGTTAAGAAGTTTTGATGTAATTAATTTCACTTTTTTAGAATATTTTTTATTTAGCGCGTTTCTAAGATGTTATTTGAATTAGCCGCGGTCAAACCGTCATAGCAAAATGTAACTTGCGTGGTCATATAAAGACATGAAATTGCACGTCTTCCTGTGAAAGCCTGTAAAGGTGCAATTACAATGAAATTTTCAGGATGTATTCATGATACTCATATGCAGGAGTTGTACTAGAATTAAGTTCTAATACAAAATAGTTCATGAAATAATGCCAGATATGTCCCCCACCTGACACTCGCAGCTGGTTCAATAAGGTAAAATTGCCTTTACTCCTAAACTATATACATACAGTAGATGATTCTAGTACAACTCCTACATCATTATGGGACCTATGTTATTGTAAAGTTTTGGAGCAAATAAATGACCCTATCTTGAGATATTGCATTCTGCGTATTTTTCTTTATATGTGTTTTTAGATTTAGGTAAGCGAGGCAAAGAAAAATTTTTTGTTACAAATTATTTCAAAATTTGTATATTTTAGTTTTATATATATAAAACTTCTAATTAACAACTTTTTAATACTTTATTTAACATTTTAATAATAGCTTTAGTACCACCTTAACGCTACTGAAAACGAAATACTAACGCTACTGAAATTGAACAACTACTGACGTTAAAATTGAAATAAGAAATTTAAAAAAGAGAAGAGTTTTGCAGTGTTCCCACTGTGTAAATAATGCACTTACCTGTGTACCGTCATTTTTATCACATCTTTTAAGGACAACCTGTACAGAAATCATATTTTTGATGGATAAACACAGTGGTTTTGACGCTGCTGCTTCAATTAAACCATCTGTTGTAAAAGTAATAGCCTAATAATAATAACAATAATAATTATATATATATATATATATATATATATATATATATATATATATATATATATATATATATATATATATATATATACTATAGCATATTTATATGCGCAATTGCTCACTTTTTTTGCTAGCCTAAATTAAGTGAGATTTTTTAGAAAACGATGAGGAAAAACGAAGAATAATGAATGAAAAGGTTGCTGACCCATACCAAACCCTCAGTCGATGTAGCAGCATCGACTCAGTATGACGTCGTCATGCTCACCTAACTCAGCAGTATAAGATATATACACACACAGAAGTATATATATATATATATATATATATATATATATATATATATATATATATATATATATATATATATATATATGTATGCATATATGTATATACATATATATATATACATACTATAAATTATAAAATTAATTAAAAAAATTTTATTATTATACTATTTTTACAAAACCCAAAAAAAAGCATTAAGATTGAACAAATTTCCAGTAAAACAATAATAAAATCATATAATATAAAAAAAGGAAAGGAAGAAGATTAATGATGATTTAGATCGTTAACGTAGCGGTTATCGATGGATTTTTTTTGCAACATAATTTCAGTTAACATTTTGTTTCCCTCCAAGTTTCACCCACCTTAGCAAAGTAAATAAGGACGTTGGAGTATCAAAACCAGTGAAATTTTCGTCAAACTTCCTTTTTCTTTGTTGCAGGACTTTGTTCCCCATTATTTTTGCTGCCTTGAAAAATGTGGTATAATCATGCGGATTATTTTTATATGTATCGACCGCCTTTGCTTTGTATTTGCTGAGCAAAGCTGTTTGGACTTTCTACGACAAAGAAGTCATAAAAAAATTATTCCTGGCATATTATCTTGAGTAAGTTTCTTCAAGTAACATTTACAATCTACCTCAATCTGGCCATTATTCTCAAATAAGGTATTGTAAGTTTTATTGATGTTGTTTATATTCACAGCAAAACCATCTTCTTTTAATTTTAACTTGACTAAGGTAATGATTTCTACATCTGTGATAAACCTCCAATATCTTCCAATTCTTGAATTTTATTTTGAGTTATTGTCAGTTTAACAGATCTCTGTGCTGTTACTCTCACTTTAAGTAGTATTTGACATCATTTGCAATGACGCCATCAGAATTTGGGATACTGTTCATTCTAAGAAATAATTCTTTATTATTAAGCAACTTGGAAACTTTTGAAAAACATTTAACATATTTTTACAGGTCTCTGGAAAAAAAATCTCAAAAAAAAAACACAACTTTTTGAAGTTTACTGCCTTCACATTGCCAAAAAATACAAAGTTCTTTGTTGTAGACTTGAGATTTTGAATGAAGCAATTTTCCTTTACTTTTTGACATTCGGCTTGAATCTTCTGATTCATCTATGTCTTCTATGGATTTAGTTTCAGGATTGCTAGCAATAAATTTAATGTGTTTAAGCAAACATTGCAAACTTATACTTTTTGTAACATTATGAGTACTCGGTGTATTTAAGGCGATTTACAAAATATTTAAATACTTTTATTTGGAATTAGCATAGTTTTGTCAGCATATTATGTCCAAATAAGATCTTTAAAGGGACTACCAAGTCTCGAGACATGTTGTGTTCATATTAAAGAGAATGTTAAAAAAAAACGTCTGAGCAAATTTTTTTTGATTAAAACTAATTAATCAATGTATACCAAGAAAAACAAATCTTGTTGTTTTAGTTGAAGCTCGTCTTCTCCATTTTCTGCGGTATTTTGAGTATGTAAAATAAACGCGATTTTCCAGGCGCATTATACAGACTTGATAATTTATTCAAGCGCGTTTAATTCATAGTTTTAGTGCATGACGTCATTGAAAACATTATAGAAATTCTTTAAAAATTTTACTAAAATAGCTAACTATAGTTACTTATTTTATTAAAAGTTTATTTTATTAATTGTTCGTTAGTTTTTTACAAATCTAACGAACAATTAATTAAACCAAGCACTAAGAAAAGATATAAAAATTAAGAATATATATATATATATATATATATATATATATATATATATATATATATATATATATATATATATATATATATATATATATATATATTTATTTGCATTCACTCCCAACAAGGTTGCAAGCAACCACTATTAAGTTGGGAGTTACTAGGAAAAAAAAGAACAGAGTTATAGAGCAAGGAAATGGTTGACAGAAGACTTAAAAAGTTAAAGGTTGTATGAGTCAGGAAAACATGAAGATGGGAGAGAGTTCCAAAGGATTGAAGGGGAAAAAAACTAGATAAATAAAAGTGTTCAGAGTATGCAGGGCCAGATACAGTAAACGAATGAGACTTAGCTGAATGACGAGTAAAACAAGAATGAATTTTAGTTGATGGAACTAGATATGTCAACTCCTTTGAGCAGTGACCATGATAGTATTTGTAGAAAAGAGAAAGAGAAGTAACTTTACGAAGATGGGAAAGAGGCTCAAGCTTAGCAGATAGTCCAGATCCAACAACATTTACAATGCGTTTTTGGACCTTGTCAAGAAGAGAAAGTGAATCGTTAGAAAAACCAGCCCAAATATGACAACAGTATTCCATACAGGGACGAATAAGAGATTTGTAGAGGTAGAGAATGGAATCAGAAGTAAGGAAATGGCGAGCACAATAAAGAGAAGCAACCTTAGCAGAAGCTAATTTAGCAATCGATTGTATATATGGTTTCCATGAAAGGTCAGTAGTAAGCGATAATCCAAGAAGACGTAGAGGTAGACTTAGTAAGAGGATTGCCATTCATTAATATAGGAATGTTGACCATATTACGGTAGTTGTTTGCAGTAAACAACTGGGTTTTGTTAGAATTGAAATTCACAAGCCACTGTGAAACCCAATCTATTACTGAAGTGAGATCGGATTCAAGATCAGCTGCTTGTTCTAGGCGATCAAAAAGAGAAGACTTTTTGTCAAGACAGGAGTATAAAGTTGAGTCATCAGCAAAAAGAGCTACTTTAGATGAAAGGTTGTCAGGAAGATCGTTTATGTAGATAAGAAACAAAACAGGGCCCAGGATGGAACCTTAGGGAACCCCAGAAGTTACTGGAAATAAAGAAGAGTGTTGGCTTTCAAGGATGACTTCAATAAACCGGTTAGAAAGAAATGATTTGATAATCTCAAAAACTTTCCCAGAAACACCATATGAAGCAAGCTTATGGAGAAGACCAGCATGCCAAACTTTGTCGAAAGCTTTAGCTTTATACTAATAAAATATATAATTTGCAATTAACTTTCAAAATTTTGACAATTTAAAAAATATATATTTTAAAACATTTATCTTTGTAAACAAATGAAATACTTTAAAAGATTTATGGCTTTACAGATGTGGCTCCGAGAATGAGCCATAATATTAAAGTAATAGTTCATTTGATAATATATTCTTAAAAAAATTTATGCTAGATATCTCAAAACTCAACAAATCGTAAATAATACAATTCCTAAAACATTTCAACAGAATACTCTAGAACTTTATTTCGCTTAGTCAGTGTATTTTTTGAACCAATAGAATTAGTTTGTTCGCAAATTTGATGGGTTTTTAGTGTTCGCGAATATTCTTTTTATTCTTCTGCAAGATGTTTTAAGAACATTCAAGTTAATTATGTTTCCATGTATGTCTGTAAAAAAAATTAATATATATTAATTTTTTAATTTTTAAGCCTCCGCCATAATATATATTGGATGTTATAATAATGGAAATATAAATAATGAAATAAGATCACCTCAATACCAAAAAATACATTTTTGAAAATCAGAGAAAAAATGGTTAATAATTTTTTTTTAAATATTTACAAAGTATATTAATAAAAGTGCATTATTATTTAGGTTAAAAATTATTTTATCTAATATTTTGAAAGAAAAACTTATAGCAAAAGAAATCAAAATACACGTGGTCTAGACGATTATTTAAAAAAAGTTGCGCAAATAAAATACTATTTTGTTTTTAATTTGTTTACAAACACATTTTAGAACTTTAAAATATAATAAAAATGAATATGATTTGGAAATTGTATGTAAAAAATAACAATCAGTGTTTAAAACAAACAAACAAAAAATCTATGATGTCATGCACTAAAACTCCTATGAATTAAACGCGCTTGAATAAATTATCAAGTCTGTATAATGAGCCTGGAAAATCGCGTTTATTTTACATACTCAAAATACTGCAGAAAATGGAGAAGACGAGCTTCGACTAAAACAACAAGATTTGTTTTTCTTGGTATACATTTATTAATTAGTTTTAATAAAAAAAAGTTTGCTCAGACGTTTTTTTTTAATATTTTCTTTAATATGAACACAACATGTCTCAGGACTTGGTAGTCCCTTTAAATGTTATAATTTTTTTTTGCTTATGGTTTTTATAATATTTAAAGAAACTTTTCTTTTTTTAATATAATTTTCAAAACCTTTTTTTAATATAATTTTTTACTACCTGTAATAGTGAATCCAAAGAACACTAATTTGGAGTCTTTAGATCAATTCCGCTCATCGGCATTAATATGAATTTATTTAAAATCTTTTGAAAAAGTTCCTTAATTTACCATTGATCCTAATTCTAATCGGTTCTGAGGTATATTAACTATATATAATTGTCAAAACACAATACTTCTATCAATTTTCAAAAAAAATACTAGAATTCCAACCAAGAAAGAGCTCATAATTATGGAAAATTGCCAATAAACGATCAGTACAGATCATTTTGTTAAACTATAATGTTCATTTCACCTAAAAAACGTATTAATATAAAATCTTATTCAAATTTGGACAAGCGATTGTAATTTTAAGATGATTTTTTTTTTTTTAAAAGAATCTTCGGTCTGGTTTTTTTTTGCTACAAACATTTATATTTTGTTACCACAAAATTTATTCTTTTAATATTTTTCGTCTTTTCAAAATTCACAGACCAGACTTTTTAACGGAAATATGTCGTAGTCAACAATATATCTTACAGACAATATAATATTTTAAAAGTGCCTTAACTACACCAAGTAATAAACACTCTTTTCATCTAGTTCCTTGTTATTTTTATACTTTTTATACTTAGGTATTTCTCTTATCCTTTGGTAATAATCTATTGCCTCTGGGATAGGAGTACCTTTGCCTTAAACAGACCATTAGTTTTTCCAAAGCATCACATGAACTTGTTTTTTACAATCTGAAATTTTTTTTAATAAATAGTGATTAAATTTTAGTGAACTATAGTTAAAATAGTGATTGTTAGGAGACACTTAAAAACTACTTGAAGAATATACCCCAAAAAAACTTGAGTTTTTAAAGGATATGAGATTTGTTACAACATATCTATTTTGATGAATTTTCTAAAAATTCGTCAAAATAGATATGTTGTAAAAATCTGGAGGTTAAAAAAGAAAGATTTTTGTCTAAAATTTGTTTTACATAATATAAATTTTGTAATAATAATTATTAAATTATAATAAAAAGAAAATTGAGCGACATCTGCCATTGACAAAACGTTTGCTTGTAACACGTTTGTCCACACAAAGGTACATATTGGCCTGCAGTATTATATTACTTGCTTTTATTATTGTTTTACTGTAAATTTGTTAAATTTTAATAGCTTTTTTAATTGGTTTTGTAAGAATATTTTATCTTTTATTGATATAAGTGCAGAAAATTTTGTAATTTGAAACTGACGATGACTAGTATATAGTCGAAACATGATAAAAATTAAAACTAAACATTAAAAATATAGTCGAAACATGTTTAAAAATAAAACTAAACATTAAAATGAAAAAATTTGTCTTGTTTTTAAGAAATATTTACTTTTCCTACAGTAATTTTCCATTTGTTAAAGGGATCCCTAAGTGCTATAAAGATATGATCTCATATGAAAGAGCATTAAAAAAAAAATGTTTGATGTATATTATTTTTTCTAAAACGTAATAATGAACACACATTAACAAATTTAATTTTCAAAAAAACGCTTTTCTTCGATTAAAAAAAATGCGTCTTGTCCAAAGTTTTATTGACTCTATTGCCTCAAAAAACTAACGTTAGTACGTCAAATTAAACAAAGTAGACAAAATGTCATTATTGCAAACTTATTAGTTGGTAATTAAATTTAAAAGTAAAGTCGTTTTTTTTCAACTAACACATAATTACTTACAAGAATAAGTTTTGTAACATTTTGTGAAAATATATTTGTATATTAAATTTTTTTTAATAATTTATATATTCGTGTTATAAGGGCAATTCCACGGCTAAAAATGAATAGAATATAGTCAAAGTTTAAACTCTTTTTAGTCAATTAAAAACAAATGAATATTGACTTAGACATATGAAAGTTTATTCAAAATATTTCCTTTGTAAAAAAATAAATTTATTTCAGTAATTTTTATGGTTTCAAAAGTGACGGTTACTCTCATTTTTGATTGATAAAAAAAATAATGATTGTAAAATGTTTTAGTTAAATTAACATTTATGTTAAATTTCTATATTTTTTTGGTTCAAATTGATAAAGTTGAATAGACATTTTATTAGAAATTAAACTAAGACAGGGCTCGAATTAACGCAAAAAAATCTAATCGCGAAAAAATTTTTTTTTTTTTGGTCTCTCCCACCCTCTCTCTCTTATAGCTCGCGCCGATGTGCGGTAATGGGGGGGGGGGGGGGGAATTTATCGTCAATAAATCAAAAAACATCGTCAAAAATTTAATAAAAAATTAGATACACCTTTTTTATAATTTATTGTTTCTTGAATAAAGGACTAATAAAAGTTTAAATATAATTAAGTTTTTCATTTAAATGGTTGATGTTTTTATTCAATTTTTCTATTTCAAGTTTTCCAATAAAAGATAAAACAAAAAAATTTGGTTTAATAAATCGAATTATACTTCATGTTTAATAAAAATAAGGCTTAAAAACGTTAAAGTAAAAAAATTGCTGGTTTTTATTAGCATTTTTATACTGTTTGAAAAAAAAACTAATGAAAAAGAATCAACTAATAATATATTAATTAATAATTATATATTAATTCTTTTTTATTAGTTTTTTTTTTCAAACAGTATAAAAATGCAAATAAAAGTCAGTAATTTTTTTGCTCTAACGCTTTTAAGCCATTTTAAACATGAAGTTTTGAAAAACTAAGATAAAAACCAACTTTTCAACTTTTCGCTTCAACGACCTTGTAAAAATTTTCCACGCAGAGATTTAAAATAATTTAAATTCAAAAATGTTTTACGTTGAAAGAAAATCTCCGCGCGAAAGAGCATCAATTCATCTATCTATTCAGAATAATAAATTTTGTGTGACGTTCTTTATGATAAAAACATTTCTTTTAAGAATTGCTAAAAAAAAAATGCTAAGCTAGAAAAAAAGTAATTAATCAACCAAAAAAAAAACAGTCGCGAAAAGATTTTCTTTTAAGAAAAAACTAATCACAAAAGTGTGTGTAGCAATCGCGATCGCGATACGCTTAATACGAGCCCTGTAAGACTTTTTTATAAGTTCTAAACTATTTAAAACTATTACTTAATAGCTTTTTTTAGCGACGTCTTTCAACCGAATGCTATTATGTTTTTGCAAAACTAATTAAAAAAACTTGATTAAAACTTAACTATTTAATCACGACTTTTTTTTACTTGAAAATCGAAGTAGATATTCCCATAGTTGTTGTGACGTACTAACATGATTTTTAACGACTAACAATCGAGTTTCAATGGTGAAAAAATAAAATCAAAATGGAGTTGTTTTTTAGTGATTTCGGCAATTGCTTTTTGTTAGCATGCATTTATTATTACAATTTAGTGAAAAAGAAAAAAAACTTACATATTTTTTTTTTATGCTCTTTCATATGAGATCATATGTTAGGAGCACTTAGGGATCCCTTTAATAAAAAAAAAACACTTTTTGCAATTGTAGCATATTATGAACTTTTAACTTTACGTAAATAAATGATCTGACTCTTTAAAAATCATGTAGATGGAAAAGAAAAAGAACTTTAAAAAAATTAATACTTAAATAGTTGTTTTTTGTTATTTATAACCAATGTTTCCGTGCAATTTTTTAAGTTTGCTTTGAATTTAAAACTTGATAAAATAAAATTAGTGCAAAATTTTTTAGTAAAAAAGTGTGAGAACAACAGACATTTAAAAAGTAATTTTTAATAACTTTTAAATAAATAAATAACCTTGCTATAATTGAAAATATTTGAGAAAGAGAAAATGAATTTAAAAAAATGAATGAAAACTTGACAAACTTTAAAAAACAAGTAATTACAATAAATAAATTATGAGCATATAATGAAAGAAAACTACATACTATTTATATATACTTATTTTTGCATGCTTACACTATAAGAGGACGGAGGTTGTATGCCGGCGTAAAGCACAAATTGGTTAGTTTTTGCATTGACATTGCCGACCTAAATTTTCCAGGCTGTTGATGTAACAACATTATCTGTTTAAACCTGATACACCCAAAATTTAAAATTTTGAAAAAATTCTGTTTTATGTATTTGATTATTTAGTCAAAGAAAATTAATTGAAACATCTTAAAATAACAAAAAATTGTAAAAAAAAACCTGATTTCTACCATTGCCATGACATTCATACATGCCTATAAACATATTTTCTGATGCATCCATTGTATCTAAACACATCATATCTTGGTTAACTAATCCCCCTGAAAAGTTTTGCTTTCGGTGTTCAGGTAAAAGCCGTCTTTTTTCCATGTGATCTATTTCAATCAGCCTTAATAAAAAAAGTTTTTAAAAGTAGAAAGTCAACTAAAATTTTATCAAAAAATAAGTTGATAGCATTAAAAAATATAACAAAATTAAAAAAAAAAAACATACCCATATATAAAAAAATTATTAAAGTAAATAACATGTCTTAACATAAATGATGTTTAACTGTGCCACTCTGGATTTAATTAAAGTTTTGTCATTTTTAATAAAAATAATTAAACTTTTTGATACTCCATTTTCAGCTTTGGCTTATGAAGATTACATAAGTGGATTTGAATGTTTAAATGCCTATTGCACTTAGCTCATGAAAGTGATACAATTATAATTAATTCTTTATTGCTTGTAACAATACAAAAATTGTTTTAAGCAATAAGAAACAACATGATTTTATTATTGAAAACCAAAGGCAGGATTAGATATTAAAAATAATAGCAACACAATGAGATAAATTGCTTAAAGTTGTGGCAAACGAACGCATTTTACTATATATATGCAGTTTATTAAAATTTTGAAACGTGGGTTGGTATATATGTATTTATACCAACCCTCCGAATTAGGGTTGGCATTCGGCAATGCCGACCTAAAAGTTTTTAAGTTCGGCAAAAAATTGCTGATGTCGTTTCTATGTTTTATGGTAAGACCTTTGTATCAAATATATATATATATATATATATATATATATATATATATATATATATATATATATATATATATATATATATATATATATATATATATATATATATATATATATATATATATATATATAGATATATATATATATATATATATATATATATATATATATATATATATATATATATATATATATATATATATATATACAGCTGCGAAAAATAAAATAGCACCACCACCAAAAATTGGTTGAAATTAGAATTTTTAACTATTTTAGATAGTTTGAAAATCTTTTAAATACATATTTAAAAGTAAAATGGCTTATAATTTTTATAAAAAACAAAATATACAAGTTTTAATATATAGTATTCATTTATTAAACAAAAATTCAAAAAAAAAATCAAATAAAACGCGAAAAAAATAATACCACCACAGCTTAAATGTGTACTTTAAAATAAGGAAATATTATGAGATCAATTATTTTAAACATTTTACAATAAATATTAGTAATTTCTTAACACATTAGTATTTTGAAGCATGACATTTATTGGCAATGACGGCTACACAACGTCTTGGCATCAAGTTAACCAAGTCCTGACATCGCTTTAGCGGAATTTTGCACCATGTCTCCTTAACTACGTTCCAGAGTGACTCCTTCGTGGTGGGTTTGGCAGCAGCAACCACCTCCTTTACGTCAGCCCGCAAATTTTCGACTGGGTTAAGATCTAGCGACTGTGCTGACCACTCCATAACGTTCACTTTATGCTTCTCAAACTAATTCTTCTCCTTTTTGCTAGTGTGCTTTGGGTCATTGTCTTGTTGGAACACTTTATAACAAAGGCATTTCATAGTCTGCATACGCAACATCATTTTATCCAATATATCAACATAAACATATTGATCCATTATAGTAGTAATGTGATGAATGGGCCCTACTCCGTAATAAGAAGAGCATGCCCATTAGTGATTTCGCCGGTTATCTGGTTTTACGGTTAACCGGATTTTGTTCAAATATCAAATATCTATTTTTGAATAATAAAAACCGACTTAAAAATTTTACGAAATTTTATAGAAAGTAACATCGTAATTATGATGATTATTGTTTGACAAATGTTAATTTATCAAAGATTATAATATATCTCTTTTATTAATTTAAATGTTAACTTAATCAGTTTTATTTGATAATTATTCCTACCTTTTTTGATTATATAATTAAAAAGATATATTATATTATAATATAAAAAAATATATATCTTTTTCCATGTTTTGTTATAAATATATAATATAGGACTGTATTCACTAACTGTCTTTAAAATGTACACTTTAACATTAGTTTTTAAAAAATTAGTTTAAAACGCTACGTTCGTTGAAATTTAGAAGATCCTGTATTCAGAAAATGTCACTAATTAACCGAATAGTCGGTTAACCGCAAATTGATGAGAACTGTTATCCAGTTTTTGAAACGGATAACCGGCGAAATCACTAATGCCCATATCATTATACTATAGCCTCCAAGTTAAATAGTTTTGATGGTATATTTTGGATTGTACTCTGCATTCGGCGGTCTTCTGACATACACCCAGAGCCTTTTCCACCATAAAGCACAATCTTACTTTCGTCTGCCCATAAAATATTCCTCCATTTTTTGAGTGGTCAATTTGAGTGTTTTTTAGCAAACGCAATACGCTTTACAACATGTTTGGCGCTTAGAAATGGAACTTTTTCGGGGCTACAGGCTTTTAATCCATTAACTCGCTTTTAATCCATTAACTCGCAGACAACTCCAAACTGTTTGTACTGTTGCATTGATGTTAAAATCCTTTTTTAGCTCGGTAGCTATTTTAAAAGGTTCCTTTTTAGCCTATCAGACTAAGCAATGTTGAAATAGAACGTTTCTGACCACGTGTTTCAGGCTTTTCTTGAAACTTTATGGCATTTCTTATCATTTTATAGGAACACTCAAATAAACAACCAATTTCTCTATAAGATTTCCCTGCTGATATCAACTTTCGGATCAGTTCTCGTTTTTCTGCACTACAATGCTTTCCGCGTCCATTTTTATATGTAAATGTCTCCTACTAATACGCACTAACATAAAACGAGCAAAACAGCAAAAATTAAACCCAACGCTTGCTATTTTCACAATTATTTTTATCATTATCAGAGTATTTTACAACAGAAGAGTGTGTGGTGCTATTTTATTTTTCGGTCAGAATTGGCATTTTTGATTAAAATCAAGCAACGCCAAGCAGTTTTTTTCCCAAAATGATTTGTTTTAGAAAATAAACATGTTAGCTAAAATTTTAAACAGCAAAGCTACAAAAAAATTTTATTTTGCATGGTATTTTCTTAACAAAAAGGAAATAACGCTAAGTGGTGCTAATTTATTTTTTGCAACTGTATATATGTATATGTGTATATATATATATATATACACACACACACACACACACACACACACACATTGGTACAATAAAGTTTGGACGAGTAAAAATTTGTTCAAACAAATATTTTTTGTGAGAAATTAAAAAGAAAACTAAAAAAAAAGTGTTATTAATTTTTATTTTTATTTATTAGAAAAATTGTCAATTAAATTAAAAAAAAAATCAATTAACAGGTAATTTAAAAAATAATAAAAATTAATTAAACAAAACACAAGAAAAAAGTGACAATTTTTTGGACAAATCTATGTTGAACAGTGAAAAACAGTAATTTTCACTTAAAGTAGACACCTTTGACTTTAAAACAAATTTTTCATGAATAGACTATCAATTAGATATATCATTAGCATAGACTATCAACTTCATGCATAGTTCTTTTGGAATTGAGTTCCAAGTGATTTTAAGAGCCTCCTTTAAGTGTGTTTTGCTTGCGATTTTAATGTTGCATCCAAACCCAAATGTTTTCAATAGGACTTAAATCAGGTCAGACACACCACAGCAATAAAGGTATTTCTTTGGTTTGTTAATATTCTTTGATTTTCTTGGCTGTGTGGTAGGTATACTATTTTGTTGGTATAGAAAATTATGAGACCTTCAGTAGAACTTTGATTTTGATGGTTTCAAGCATGTTTCCAGGGTGTCTTTACAATAACAATAACTAATTCATTAATCTTTATGGGAAATACATCCTCATATGTCTACTGAGCCACTGTCAGCTTGAATATGCTGTACACAAAAGCAAGTGTCATAATTATCACTTTTCAACCTTTTCACATATACTCTTGATTTACAAATAAAATTTTTAAATTATTTTCATCGCTGAAAATAATTCAGCTCCAATCTTTCATAGACCAACTTAGTATATATCGATACAATACAGTGTCAGTATAGACTAAGTTAATACAATGTGCGACTTTTAAAACGATTTACGTTAAGCAATGTAAGAATAATTCTTATTTTTTAACATCTTCCAAATAGTCTATCTTCTTACACCATAGTCATTTTTTATATTGTTGAATTTCATTTGTAAGTTTCAGATTTGATATGTGGAATTTTTCTTGTTTACAGTCATTATACATTTATCTTGATCAGATCATGTTTTTTAGATTGTCCAGACCTCAATGTGAAAAAAACTAGACAAATAAAAGTTTTTAAAGCATGCATAGACAGAGAAGAGTAAGACTTTACTGAATGATGAGTCAAACGAGAATGAGTTTTAGTTGATAGAAGTAGAGATGATAGCTCCTTTGAGCACAAATAAAAGATTTGTAGAGGTAGAGAATAGAATCAGGAGAGAGGAAATGGTGAGCATTGTATATATAATTGCCATTTAAGGTCAGTAGTATAAGATAATCCAAGAAGACGTAAAGAAGAGGACTCAGTGAGAGGGTTGCCATTCAATAATATAGGAATGTTTACAGTACTGTGATAGTTGTTAGCAGTAACCTTGAGGTACCCCAGAACTTAATGGAAAGAAAGAAGAGTTTTGGCCTTCAAGAATGACTTTAATAAAGCGGTTAGAAAGAAATGATTTGATAATCTCAAAAACTTTCCTAGATGCACCATATAAAACAATTTTATTGAGAAGACCAGCATGCCAAACTTTGTCGAAAGCCTTAGATATCTCAAGAGCAATAGTCCTAGCCTCTCAGCCTTGGACAAGAATGGCATGCGATTGAATGCTATTGCTGACCACATAAATAATTTTTTTTATTGTTAACTTGACTACGAATGTTTAGATGCTTTGATGATTTAAACATTTCAGAAATGTGCTGAAAAAAAAAAATGCTAAGCTTAACTTTAACTAGAAATTAAAAAATTGAAAACACTACAAAAAAAAAAAAAATCAATTCTTTACGTCAAAGCAAAAATTACTTTTTGTTTTTAATTGTGCTTGAAATAAATTACTTTCAACTTAACTTTTGAAACGTTTTATTAAAGTTAAGCAAAATAACAAATGCCTGGATCAGAAACCATAGAAGAGTTTAACCAACCCTGGTCACTTACTATATAGGGTGTGACATTAATCACTGAAAAATGTCAAATTTTGTGGGTTAGTCCATGTGACTTGCACACCATCCATATAGAGATAAGGGTAAATAAAACATATATTGACTGAAATATCAAGATAGATGTAAATAAATGAACTTAATTAGAGATCAGGGTTAGGCTCAGAGATCTTTTCAGGGCTTTAATGTGGCTATAATTTAAAATTTTTTCACTATTAATTGGCAACAAAAACCAAACTGTTTAAGCTTTTTTTATAATTTACTTTTCATGTATTTGTTAAAGAATAGTGATTTAAATCTAATTACCAAATGTGTATTTTCGCAATTTTTTAAACTTAAGCACCAGATTAAAAGTACTTTCCTTAAATTTTTAGATCTATGTTTTTATACAACTCTTAATAAACATAAAACTCTCTATCATAACCAGTCATAAAAATAAAGGGGTGGAAAACTAAAACTGTGCCTGAAATTCAGTTACATTTAATTTAGTTAACTATTTATTAATAATTTATTAGGTTATGATATATAATATAACATCATCTAATTAATTATTAATGTATCATATTATTTGAAAGTATATTATTAAGTATGTATTAAAAAAACATTTAACGTAAACCTTGCAATTTTTATAGCCTAAATTCAGTATTTAAATAGCTGATTATAATGTAAAGTGAATTTGAACATAAGTTGAAAATGCAAAAAACAAAAATTACCTACTCTTCAATAAACCCAAACGAATATGGACATTTATCTTGCTTCGAAGAAATTAACTTAGATTCCATCTAAATTCAAATTTTTAAAATTATTCATTACAAATATAAGAATATATATAGAAATAGTAAATGGATTCTGGTGTGAATAGCATAATAGAAATACTTACTTCGTTTTCTTCTTCATTTTCTGTAAAAGATCTTTTCACATCATTGTAGTATTTAAGGTTAGTGCGATAAAATAATAAACTTGTGAAAAAGACTACAGTACAGACTAGCACAGATGTAATCGCAACCCAAACATTTTTCATATTATCTTTTTAATATCTTTATATTTCTTTTACTATTTACTAAAATTTTAATTATTGAATTAGTTAGAATCACGTGACTTTATTACGCAACCAAAAGTAACCATATTGAATTAAGGAAATGCTAATGCCGTAATCAATAAGGAAATGCTAATGCCGTATCAATGCCGTAAAATTAGATGGGGAAGGGAGGAAAACTACCTGCTTTCTGCGCTCTTTAAGTCAAATTCTCATTAAAATACTCTGCGTTTATTTAAATGGAAATAGGAAACTAGATAACAACAAACCATTGTTTACATAAATGTTTTACAAATTTGCCCGTATTTATGGCAGAAAACAAAACAGAGATACAAAACAGCACGTTAGTAACATTTTCCGTATGAATGTCATAAAACTAAAATGACATTCATACGGAAAATGTTACTAACGTGCTACGATGTTGTGATGAGGAGGGAGGAGAGGGGATCTAAAACGATTAAAAATTGTGTGACGCAATTTATGGACAACCCCTTTAACAAAAATCCGTATGGCACCCTCTCCCACTTGAAACCTACTCGCGCCAGCCCTACTTTCAAAGATGAGTAGGCATCAATATGAGTATGCATCCGCGGTGCTCTGTGATAAGACCGTAAAGACTTCTTGGGGCACCTAAATTAAATTAAAAAATAAAAAATATCTCCAGCAATGACGACTGAACTATAAATGAAAGGCGTACATCCATTTTTAATAGAGAAATAGATGACATCATGTTTTCCTAACTTGTTTATACTCTACAAAACCAACTTAACTCTTCCTTTTACATCTTCTTATGATGAGAGAAATTTTAGTAGACTAAAGGTCAAAAATTATCCATGATCAACAACGACAAAACAATATCTTTTTGGATAGACATTAATTTTAATTGAATGTGAGCTTGCTGAGAGCATCGAATTCGCATAATCAATAAATTGTTTTGCTTCAATCCAGTGGGCACAGACGTCCGTAAGACGTCTTATGAACGCCACAAATTCTTATTATGTTCTTAAGCCTTCCAACGAACGTTCTGCACCCGCTGGAAAAGAAATCTAGCAGAAAAAAAAATTGCATAAACTAACACAACAGTAGATTTCTTTCTCAATACTTGCTTTCAGTAATATGCATAGTGTAAATATATTTTTAAATAACCAAACCATTGCAATAATATTAAATGCTTCTTTTTTTAACGATAATTGTTAACTAAAGTAAAATTAACAAAATCTAATTTAAGTTGTTTAGTGTCTTAGACGTACTTAACAGTTATGATAAAAGGAACATAAAAGCATCAATAAAATATATTTATTACATGTGCAATTTTAGAAAAAAAATTTTCTAGGGGTAATGTGCCAACCCCAACCCTTGTCGCCCCTACTCATTCTAATGCTCCCCCTTCCATCCTTCGCAACACTAAACTCTAATCCACCGCTGCAGTGGTGGTGGCAGTGCACTGCCAGAAATATACATTAAATAGGTTTTTTAAGTTTATATTTGTGGTTGAATTTAAAGAGAACAAAAAAAACGTACGTTAGGTTAAAGGTAAAATGACCGACAAATCTCTATATAGACTACGCAAATCTTTATACATAATATCCAGTCTTGGTGCAGTGGTCGGAGTTCTGGCTCAGAACCCAGAGATCCGAGGTTTTGGGAGCATCTTAATAACTACATTATTATACAATGTGTTAAATGTAAAAAATTACAGGCCCGGATTTAGGCTTGGGCAGGATGTGTCATGGTACAGATCCCTCCCCCAACAACAGGGCTCTAAAAAAATTTGGCATTTTTCATAGTGACTATATAAATAAGGCAGCTCTTATCTGAACAAAAAATTTTATTGTAAAAGATAAACTTTGTCAGATTTATCATTTCATATTACTTTTATAATTTTTTTGATAGAAAATTTTAAACCACAACTTCAAATGGCAAAAAAAAACTACATAACTAGTTTTATTTTCTAAAGTTTAACGTCTCTCTAAGGAGTGTTAAAATTTCAACAAAAATAGTCATACGAACATTTATTTTGTCAACAAGGCTTTAACTTAAAATTTTTTAAATGAATTTTAAAAAAAGATTTTTAGGCTATAGTTTTAGATTTATTGATATTTAATAACGAGTAACTGCTAATAATCAACTGTACTCGATTACACAATAGTTGGCTCGATAATTATTGTGTACTGTTTGAAACAATAATTTGAGAGTAGTTTATCATAAAAACACTTTTCTGTTGGTCATTATCAGATTATTATTATCATATCATTATCAAATATTTCAAAAAAACACAAAAGTAATAAGATACAGTATCGGGCCTAAAGGAAGCAACCTTCTTAATTTGTTAGATAAATGAATACAGTCATTCTGGGTAACTTTGAATTTGCGTGTAACATTGAATAAAACGTGTAAATTTTTCTAAATTTCTTTTTCTTTGGTGTTTTCTTTGCCTGTCGCTTTAACAAAGGATAATATGATAAATTATCCTTTTTTTACAAAAGTTTGACCATAGATAATTGAATTTTGTTTCTCAAAAATATTTTTTCCCTCGATTTCCAGTTTACATAGTCACATTTTCAATTACACAGTCGAATGTGGTGATAATATCGTGTGTTGTCAATTTAGAATATTTGTTACTATATTGTAAATATAGATTTAGAATATAGTAACAAATATAGAATTATAATAGATTTCTTAGTATTTTATTGAATTATTTTTCGAATTTTAGTAAAAACTGAAAGTGCTTTTTTTGCTGTCTGAGTAACATTGCAATAATGCATAATAAATATAATAGACATCTTTTTATTATAGTATTTTTATTATGTAATAATATATATATATAATATATGTGTATATATATATATATATATATATATATATATATATATATATATATATATATATATATATCATAAATTAAAATATCTATTGCTAATGTATTTTGATATTTTAGGTTTTGATATTTATGGCTTTTTTGATAGTTTTAAAAACTTTATTAATAGCAAATATGCGATTAATTAAATAATTTTCATTAATAACAGCAACTATCTCTATATTTTTAGCATTCTTAAAATGCCAAGAAAAAGTTTGACAACTCATCTTGGCACTAGAAAATATGGCACAATATCTAATTACTCAAATGCTACACTTCAAGATGCATTAGCCAAAATTAAATTAGAAAACATGTCAATTGGTGAAGCTTCTAAAATTTTTAAAGTACAAATTGGAATTAATGATTTTAAAAGTATTGTCAAAAACTATCTCGATGATAGTGGAAAAGATATACAACAGTTTAAAGATAACCGACCAGGTTGAGAGTGGTGTATACTTTATCTTGACAGATATTCCTCATTAAAAGAAAAAGTATCTCATTGTATTTCAAGGAAACGTGCACATATTAAATATTGTCAAATAGAATTATTTTTTCAAAATCTAGAGAAGGAATTAAATGGAGTAACACCAGATAACATTTATAATATGGATGAAACAAGGTTTCATGATGACCCTGGAAAAAAAAAACTTATTTTTTAAAGGAAAACACAGTTGGTCTGACTGGCTTTTTAATGCACCAGAAGGATCAAGAATAAGAACTTCTTGCAGTGGCTGGATGGAAATTCAAATATTTGAAGAGTGGCTATTAAATCACTTTGTTCCAAATATTATAAATAAAGAAGGTAAAAAAATTCTTACTTGTGATAATTTAAGTGCTCATATATCTTTAAAAGCCTTAAATATATGTGAAAAGCTTTATATAACATTTACATGTTTGGTACCCAATTCCACACACCTTTTACAACCTCTAGATTGGGTATTTTTCGAGTTTAAAAGCTAATTGAAGGTCAGTTCTTAACCAATGGCATAAAACATCCCATGGGAAAAAAGTTAATAACCTACCAAAATATTTGTTTTCGCAGCTCATTAAATCTACTCTTAATGTTGGTAAAGAAAATCTAGAACATAATTTACAAGCAGAATTTAAGGCTACTGGCATATATCCATTCGACCCTGAACATGTTCTCTCAAAATTACCCAGTTTTACAAATATAGATATTCATCTCAACATCGGAGAATCGTTTAGGAAATATGTTGATGAAATTCATACATCTAATCTTAATTATGAGTCAAGCAAAAAATTCAAGTTACCAATAACAGCAGGGAAAAGTGTCACTGGGAAAAATCAGCCACTGAGGTAGAAGCATACTATAAGTTAAGAGACAATAAGAAAAAAAAATCAAGATAATATTGGAACAAAGAAAAGAGGAAGACCACTTGGATCAAAAAATATAATTATGAAAATAAACAAAAAAAATGTTTCACAAATTTCAAGCATTGTAGATGTTAATCAAGTTATTAAAGACAATGAGCAAGTTGTATCTCAAAATGATGCAGTTTCTTCATTAGAGCAAATAAACAATCACAGTATACTTGTTTTCCATGATTATATGATTAAAGAGTTAGTTATGACTCAAGACTAAAATAATGGACTTAAACACTGTAATATTTAGTTTTATAGTCACAGGTGTTTATTTGTGTAGAATTATATAGAAATGATGTCTTAATTATTTTTTCTTTCATAACCTTAAAAATTGATCAACAAGTTCATTTAGTGATTTGTAATCTTTTATTGAAAAATTTGTTTGTTTATTATCAATATAGTTTAATTAGATTTTTTTTTTTTAATCAATTTGAGCTAATACAACGAAATTTATACAACTTTTTAGATTTAACTGATTAAAATTGACATAGTGTTAATTTAATAGTGTTCAAAGTTACCCTAATGCAAGTGTAACTTTGAATCCCTACTTGAACTTTGTTTTTTAACAAAATAACTAGCAAATTTAAAAAAATGATAACAAACTAGAAAAAAGAGATCATCAGAACACCTTTTATGTAAAAATATTTGTTAACTAGTTTGTAAAAAAAAATTTTGTTGAGATAAACCTAGCGCAAAGCGTTCAAAGTTACCCGGAATGACTAAGATTAATATATCGTCAACTATTTTACTAACAAAATATGTTTTAAAACATTTTACAAAAGTCCAATGAATACTGATGAAATTTTATCTTACCAATTTTTGTAAATGTGCCTATCAGTTATTTTTTTAAGATTTCAAGCAACAAAATGGAAGCAACATGAAATGTTTCTGCTATTTATGCTTTACTAAATATATAATTTATATGTTGTCTTTAACGAGTAAAAATATCTCAATTGAAATTTAAAAAAAGAATTACAAGTATCAAAAAAATCTGAATAATACAATCTGAAATCAGATGGAGAGTAAGTATTTCAAAATGAAGTTTCGAAAACAACAATTTTTTGGCATTTCCAAAAAATCAAGCACGGTGTCGTACAAATTTATTTCCCCCATAAATTTATTTTCGAAACGCATGTCGATTGGTTAAATAGGCCCCACCCGGAAACTCGTATTTGTTTTTTCTATTATTTTCATAGTAATAAATTTGGCGATATCCAATTTACTCTCATTTAATTCTAACCTATATGAATATTTTGTAAACAAAAAATTGTATACATTAGTAATGTCAACAAATAGTAAATAAAGTTTAAAGCGGAATCACGCACATAACAGAAAAACTCAAATTTTAGTTACTTGATAAATAAACTTTAATTTCTCTGGAAATATAAATTTCAGAGGTATATATATTTAAAAAAAAAAAATATTTTAAACATTAGTAAAGATCTCAGAAAGTACAGGGTTACACTGATCCGATGGCGATCACAAATAGTACCGAATATGTATTATAACTTAATTTTTAAGATCTCAACCGTTTTTACGTTTAACTATATCAGTTCAATTTTCTATATTTTTATATCTGAAAAACAACAAAGACAAAACTCTTTTTATACAAAAATTTCGTTTAATAACAAAAACATTTAATAAATACTAATGTTCAAATAGTCGCCATTTAATTGTTATTTAGTTATAGTCATATTAGCGCTATTTACTAGTTATAGCTATTGCGGTATTGAAATGTTTTTTTTTCTTATGCTGATTCGATTTTCTTCCAATCATGCACTATGTATCATAGAGTCACGACAATCGTTTAAATGCTAGATATGATCAATATTTCAAATGAAATATTATATTTCTACGACTCATATTTAATATATTTCCGATGAGAAATAGCAGTCATCGAATATTTCTAGCTACAGTATAGCGTTTTAAAAATTATTGTATATTTTCAAACTGTAGCAATATTATTACGCAAAAAAAAAAAAAATGTAAAAAAATATTTATATTTAATTTTTTCAAGTAGCCTAAAATATGATAAAAATAATTTTGTTATAAATGTTCTTTAAGAAAATCATAGTAGTATGCATTTTGCATTCAGTCTCAGCTTTTAATTGCTAGAACAAAGAAAAATCACGCACAAAAATGAAAATTCCCTTTTAAGAAAAAAAGAATGAGTTTAATGTGAAAAAGTTCCGGCAAGCCCAGAAAAACATCAAAAATGGATAAAGAGAGCTTGATTATTAGACCCTTTTAAACCTGTTACAAAAATTAACTCAGAATTAGACTGTAAATGTGTCTAACAGAATAATACAAAGACGTCTTAGAGAGGCTAACTTATTTGCCAGCCGGCCAGAAAAAAAACCATTGTTGAGTAAGAAAAATATAGATGTCAGAATGGTATTTGCAACAGTAGTATGTTACCACAGTACACATACGGGGCTTTTATAATCTATTAGTTATTTCTGATGTTAGAAGTTTTTGACTTTGAGTTAAATTGTTCTCGGGTGCTTTTGATGTAACAAGAACTTCAATCACTTGTTTTTTCATTTCATTGACTTTTATTTATTTATTTGTTAGCTTAAATTGCAAAGTTTTTTGCTCCGTTATCGTAAAAACAATTATATTTGGATAACGGGATCAAAATAACCATACATGGATATTATCCATATACAGAATTTTTATTATTATTAATTATTATTTAGGTGTTTCAAGAAGTCATAACGGTCTGATCACAGAGCACTGTTGATTAGCATTTAACCATGAAGTTCACGCCTCCTTCCCTACCAGTAATATATATACGGCCGTAGCCGGGTCCAAACCACGGACCTTAGGTTCAGAAGCCAGTACTCTAACCACTACAGTACGACTACGATATTTTGTGTGATAGATACAAACTTTGGACCAAGATTTAGAAGACCTTTATAGTGATCTGATGTAATATTGCCGTTGGCTAAATCTAGCATCTTTCATAAATCTTATTTAGTTTTTGAAATCTTTTAGGCTTTTGTTTTTAAACTTTGTCTTGATTTTTAAGAACACATGTTTTTTTTTGGAGTAATTTATAACTAGTAGCTAATTTCATAAATAGTTTATAACTAATAACTAATGTCATGATCTGATGTAATTTAATAAAAAAGGTTAATAATATTCACCTGGTATGTTGTATGTAGTTTATGCCTTTTGCCGCAGTTAATATGCTTTAATTCGAATGCACGTTATTTAGTTATCTACTTGGTATTAAGTTTTCATAATATATTGTTTGTACACAAAGGAAATGAGAAAGTCCAAAAACATCATTTTAAGATAATGAAAAAATAAGCAGAGATGTAGGTCTCGAGACGCCTTGAGGCTCATATTTAACTAACCCAGTCTTGGTATTGATCTTGAAGCCTAAAGTCTTGGTCTTAGTTATGGTCTTGAAAGCCTGGAGTATTGGTCTTGGTCTCGTTCTCGGACCTCTACTGTTTTTTAATTTCTTGATTCTTACCAAAAATATCAACTCAATAAATGGATTAATTATTAATAACAATCCGCAACTTCCCGATCTCAATGAGACTTTTGATCTAGGTCTTGTAAAAACTTTCAAAGTCTTGGTCTTGAGCCCAAATGTCTTGATCTTAGTCTTGGTAATGGCCTTTACTCTATTGACTACATCTCTGCAAATAAGTTTTTGCGTAATTTGTTAAAATAATAAATTTTTGTTAAAATAAAAAATCTTGATAACTCATTAACAATTGATTTATTAAATTTGTGTAGTATATCAAACGATAAAGAGTTTAAAATACTAAATAGTGGTATCAGTGGTGGATTGAGGTTTAGCGTCGTGGGGGGCCATGGGAATGAGTAGGGGGCGACAAAGGTTAGAGGTGGAATATTACCCCTACAAAGGGTTTTTGAGAATCGCGCTTGTGATAAATATATTTTATCAATGCTTTCATGTGCCTTATATTATAACTATTAAGTACATCTAAAACACTAAACAATCTAAAGTATCAATGCTTTTATATGTCTTTTATTAACTATTAAGTACATCTAAAACACTAAACTAAAGTTTGAGTTTGCTAAGTTTACTTGGTTAACAATTATCGTCAAAAAAAAAAAAAAAAAATTAAAAAGATATATTTACACAATACATATTACTGAAAGCAAGCTTTAAGAAAAAAACTTACTCTTCTGCTAGTTTATACAAACTTTTTTTTGCGAGATTATCATAACGATTAGTGAAATTCATAAGGCGTTGTATAGATGTCATACGGACGACTGTGTCCTCTGGGTTGAAACAAAATGATTTTCAATGCTCTCAGCAAGCTCACATTCAATTAAAATTAATGTCTATCCAAAAAGACGTTACTTTGTCATTGTTGATCACAGATAATTTTTGATCTTTAGTTTACTGAAAGTTCTCTCATTATAAACATATGTAAAAGGAGTCAATTTGTTTTTGTAGAGTATATACAAAGTAGGAAAACATGATGCCATCTATTTCTCTATTAAGAATGGATGTACGCCGTTCATTTATAGTTCAGTTCAAGATCAAGAAGAAATAACCTACAAATTGATGGAATTGATGAAAATGGGTTTGAATCATGGGGGGAGACTGAAGAAAAAAATCACACATTAATCTGGCAAAAACTTGGACTGAAAAATATTGACATTGAACGTGACCACCGCACTGGATTGAAGAAAGATGGACGAGGACAACAGTACTTAACCTGCAGAAATACAAAGACAAAGTAAGAATCTTAAAAGAACCTCATCGACTAAAAGGCACGAGTTTTTTTATTAACGAAGACTTTTTTCGTGAGACCGTTGCTATTCGGAAAAGCTTATTTGCGGAAGTAAAACAAAGGCTTTTTCAAATGGTGAAAATGTAACGGTAAGATATGACAAAATTATTTCTCTTAATAATAATTGTAAAATCAATCTTAACAAATAACTAGTACTCCTAAAATGAAATCCTTTTTTTTTTTCTCTCTATTTATTATCATGGCTATGACTAATAACTTTGAATTCCTTTTTTTTAATTTATATGAAACAAATCTCTTTTCTTCAGAAAAATATTTAGAACCTGAAAATAATTTTTATCGCAGTATTTTACCGATTGTTCGTATCATTTCCCAAAGCAACTAGAAGGGTTTCTTTTTAAGAAAGTTTGCGAAAAAAGTAATAATCAAATTGTAATTCTCCACCTCAATATAAGAAGTTTGAAATAAACACATTTTTAATATAATTTGTTTAACTTGGATCACAGAAGATAAAATAAGTAGTAATTTTGATATTCCTCATTTTAATACTATTTCTATGGAG